GTTTAATAATGGTAAGAGACTAAATGAACATATTCATTTGGCTAGAATATATCTGAATACAGTTATTTGGTGGGAAAATGTGTATAGTTTGAATCTGCTGTCCCAGAGCACTGTAGCATGCTGAAAGAACTCTCCCAGTACCTTCACACTGTTGATGGTTTTCAGACTTGGGAACCCTCCCTGGTTTTCCTCAGCTGGCATAAATGTACATTGCCTGATATGACTTAGCTTGTCCCTGTGAGATTTTAAATCAGATCTGTTGACTGTTATGTTTCCTGCAAAGACATTTTATTTTTCTTTCTAACAACTAGAGACCAGAAAGTAAGTTAAGCCCTACCTTTTAGTTAAAGCCAAAGCAGTAAGGGCCCCTTTCATTATAACCAAAGGTAGGATGTGCTCTTGATACCGACTATATCCTCTTGCAGCAGAAGTCGCATTGGTTTAGTATAGGGGTATTGTTCCATGCTAGTTTTGTAACTTGTTTTAATGATATAAGACGTTTTTCTGTAATTGTTTTTTTGGTGGTTTTTTTTTTTTTTTAGATTTGCTCTGTCAGGAATGGATATGGAACAAAGAGACTATGACTCACGAACAGCCCTGCATGTAGCAGCTGCAGAAGGTAATGTCTCCTCACATGGGAACTGGCCAAACGTTAATGGAATGTGGTCAGCTTTCTTCAAAGTATATTCACTCTATATACGCATAACTCCTTTTTAAAACTTTGTCTGTATATTCATATATATATATATATATATATATACGTAGATACACTCACAAGCCTGCTTTCCTTATAGGACATGTGGATGTTGTCAAATTTCTGCTGGAAGCATGCAAAGTGAATCCTTTCCCCAAAGACAGGTGAGGGGTTTTATTGCTGGTTTGGAGGGAAGATGCTCTAACAGCTTCTGTCTGGCCCTTGTGAGGAGAGGTGTCTGTCAAATAGGAGGAGCTGGTGCACTGGAGCAGGAGGAACAGGATCCTACTGGTTCTCTGCAGGTTCTGCAGAGCAAACGGGAATAAAAGAATGGGGAACCATTAAAACCATTATTTAAAATGTTATGCTCAGCTTACGAAGCATTTTCATAGTTACTGAACTTAGTGTGGTCTGTGTGCTTCATTATCAACACAGTATGCAAAGAACTTAGTATTTACGTGCTGATCTTAAATACTGTGCTCCCTCCTTCCTGTAGGTGGAATAACACTCCTATGGATGAAGCTTTACATTTTGGACACCATGATGTATTTAAAATTCTTCAAGAATATCAGGTCCAATACACACCATCAGAGGATTCCAACAACGGAAAGGAGAACCGAACAGTTCATAAAAATCTAGATGGCTTACTATAATCATCTTCAGCTAAATCCTAAGAATCAAATCACTTACCTATTTAATTGTGGTATACATAAGTAATGAAGAGCGTGTGTGTTTCTATCTGATAGTGGTATATATTTTACAGAAGTCTCTGTTACTTCAGTGTTATGTTACAGGAGTTTCTATACGCACAGGACAAATCCAATCTCTCTCAAAAGAAACAAAACCAACTAAGAATCTCCCTCCATAATGTGAGCAATATTACCTCATGCTGCATATAGTTGATGTATAAAAATATTTAGCTGTTGTTGGCTTTACTGTGCACTACTTAATTTATTTTTGTGTTCTATGTGAACTCTAGTCTGTGGTCAGGAATTCTTCTGCTGAATTTTTTTTTCTCTAGCCCTCTGTTTCCAGTATGGCCAAGATGAGCCAGAGTACTGTCAGGTATGAGCGTCAGTGAGGTTTTTCAAAAGCTGAGGATGCTGATGTAGATTTAGGCTGGGTGTGTTATGTAAGGATCTGCACTTACCTTTGGGAAAAAAAACAAACAAACTTTCCACACAACCTTGTTTACATAATATAAATATCAACAGAGTGTATAGGTGACAGTTGTCAATGGTCTAGGCTTGTTCTTAGAGATAGTCTTGTCAGGGAATCTGTTTTAAGGTTTGTTTGACCAAATGGCATAGGGGAGTGTGACTTGTAACATCCAAGTGTTTAGTGGTCTTTTTGTTTTTGAAGCGTTCCTTTCAGTTCCCTTTGTCTCGCCTCCCTCCTCTCTCTCCGTGTTCAGCTGCTAAAGTACTTCCCCTGTAGCTGGGGAAAGCGGGTGCTTCCACTCTGTGCAGTCGTGTTCCTTGCAGGTATATTTGCACTATAGTGAGCCTCGACAAGCTGCAAAATCCCCTTCGGGCCTCCCGCGTGGGGTTCTTGGCGGTCGCGCCAGCAACCGGCGAGGGGAATGGGAGTATGTGAAAGGCAAAGTACTAAACCAAATATTACATGTAAATCTGACTTTATTTAGGCTTGGAACAAGGAACACGGATGGAGTGAAACAGCTTTAAGGAGCATAGAGCCAATCAAAGCGTGAGCAGAGCGGGAGATAAACCAAATTTTTGGGTGTGTTCTCTTCTTGCGCTACCATCAACCAGGGAGCAGGATATTGCATCGGTGGGGTTCCGCCAGTGCAGAGCAGGAGTTCGCATCAGGAGCACAAATAGGTGATGCCTTTTGTGGCGAATGGTGGCATTTACTGTCTTGCCGCTGAAGCCAGCTCGGCACGTGCCCCATCGTGGGAAATGTAGATGCAGGTATTTGTTGGTGGCAGAAGTGCAACATCAGGACAGTTCCCCATCCCGTGTGCAATTGCTGCTGCCAGTACTGTGGCATAAAACCTCCAAAGCGAGTGGTCACTTAGAGTTTGATATTCACAAAACACCACAGTTGTTGGATAAGGGCAGGAATTTTAGCACAAGTAGCTTAGGCAAGAATTGTTCAGCACATGGAAAAGGAGATTGTGCTTGAGAATTGAGTATATGGCTATTTTTATCCTAGCACATTGTGTACAAGTCATTGGTAGATCTCAAAGTTAATTTTTTTTTGTGTTTAGGCACCAAAATCCTCCTGAAATAATGCCCAAATTCTTTCTAGAATGACCCAGGCACTTTATAAAGATGATCTGACCCACGCTGTTCTCCTTTTGCAAACAAGTACGCTAAGGCACAGGGAGAAGTAACTTCTCCAGAGTGACCCAGCAGGTCAGTATAGTTGAGAATAAATCCTCTCGAGTTCCTGTACAGTCTCTCGTCGATATGCCGTACTGCCTCCCTGTAGGGAGGGCATGGAAAAGTGCTTGATACTCATCACAAGCAGTGACTGTCTTCATGATGGTGATATCTTGGAAGAGTCTGAAAGTCTAAAGCCCTGAAATCACATTTCAAAGCTGTCTGGCATGGTTATCAAACACTTTTTCTCAAGAATCTTACTGTTCTTAAGCTGCTCTTTTTTTTTTTATTCTTTTTTTTTTTTTTTTTCCCTGCAGATCAGCTATTTTTCTGAAGGCTTTTAACCTGTTCATGTCCTGTATCACAGCCACCTTAGTTCTAATTGAGAACTAAATGAAACGGCCTCTGGCTCCTTACTGAGCCACACGGGTCACTGGGTAGCACAAGGCGCCTCTGCTGCATCCTGGACTAAATTCCAACATGTTTTCTCTGGCAACAGATCTGTCAACTTTAGAGGAATATTTTCAGATAGATTCTAGTTTAGTATTCCATATCTCAGTACTAATCTGATTTCTTCCTTATTTTTTTCCTATTAAAACATATCCTTTAGCTTCTCAGAAAGATACTTGATTTAGCTTTATTTAACTGAAATTTGCATTGCTCCAACTGGCATTTTTAAAAGATAGCTGTATCATATAATACACAACATTTAAAAAGAAAAAAAAAAAAATCGAAAGGATTTCAACGGAGTTAACATTAAAGATCATGGCTGTCCCTAAATTTAAGGCTTTCCTGAATCATACTGAGTGCTTTTAGCCGGTCTTGGCTTCAGTGCATTTTTGCTGGTTAGTTTTAGTATTTTCTCATTGTGAGAAGATGCATTATTTTGTAATGTCCCATTCAGCGATGCAGCTATTTAGACATGGTGTTATTTATAAATATAAATATATGCAGTACATTGGTTTGGCTGTTTATCATTCATGACACTGACATGTAGACTTTACCGTAAATAGCTTTTGGTTATCTTATCAAATGCAGACTTCCTTATGCTCCAAAGAGGATTCCCCCACTCCTTTGTTTTTGTGTCATACATGTTTCTTCTGTATCACAATCTAAAATCGTTAAGCTAACTTAATGCTTTGTACTCAAAAATATTGTGATAGTCTTAGCATTAATTAGCCTATCCTTGTGAACAAAATGTATTGTACCAGATTTTTTTTGCTTCAGAGCTGGACTATCAGTGACTATACTTATTGGCAGTGTATTTCTGGTCATTGTAACTGACTGGGCTGATCTTGACTTTTAGATTCTGTATTGTGGGGAATAGACAGTGATGAATGTATTTCTAGCAGTTTCCCATGAATGAATCTAAACTTGAGCTGTACTGGTTCTGCAAATGAAAGTTATTTATTTTAAGAAATAAAATCCAGATAGTGTTGCTTTTTACAGCATAATAAATGGAAATACCAAGATGATGAGGGTTTATGGGTTGTCTTGTGTCTGCCGTTGACATAAGCCTTCAGTCATGGGGGAGTCTGTACAGCAAAGCCTGCATGGTGCAAAGCTTACAGGAAATCAGAATGATTTTATCTGATCTGGCTTTGTTGTTGGGTTTTGTTTTTTTTTTTGGGGGGGGGGGGGGGGGAGGGGGGCAACCTACACTTCTACAGCTGCATCCTTTTACTGATTGTTTTTTGTTAATGCTGGGATTCTTAAGTGGATTGGCCATGTGCCCTCCACAGCTCTAGCTTTCTCTTGCTGCCTCTTCACTCCTGTTGTCCTCCTTCTCGCCAACGGTTTCTTTCCTTTATTATTTATCTGGCTGTAGAGTTAATATAAAAGCCTGACAAGTGTGAGACAAGGGATTGTGTCATTTATAGACCCAGAGAAAAATGATGCACCAGTGGGACAGCTGAATAGCTCCCAAAGTTTAGCTATGGATCAGTTATCCCACAGATCGATTAGAAATTCAAGTTGAGTTTATTGAAGTTTGGGTTGGGAAGAAAAAACATCAACGATGTGATACAAGCAATAATAATTTAAAAAAATCATTCTTAACAGCTATCTTCTAGGAACTCTGTAATGCAGCCTGACCTGCAACCATGCAGTGAATTAAAAGCATCTCTGTTGCCTTAGACTTCAGAGCTCTAACTGTTTAAATTCAAAATGAGATACACAGTAAACTCTTGGCAGATGCATCATCTTTATAACAGAAGTAGCCAAAACACAAGACGAAAGTGTCAACTGGCAGTTCCATTTATTTAAAATGGCAAAAGACTATTCCATTGGGGGAAAAAAAATATTTCTGGAACTATTTGCCATGTAAAGGCAGAGCCGTGAATAAGGAAGGCCACTGCTTTAAATCTCACAAGCAAATTTCACCCTGGTCAATAAAACTGAAATAAAGTAATGGAAACAAACTGCTGCATATGGAACATGAATACAAGGAATGTGTAGCTCAAGATACAAATACTTGCTTTTTGTACTACAATAGATACACATTCAGCTACTTATAGTAAGATAAAAGCATTAAGTCACCAGCTCTGTTAACCTCAGTAACCCAAGGCACCAAGACCAAGTCAGTTTAGCAGTGGTTTTCATTTCAATACGCACATTATGTGCTCCAGGTCCTTTAGATTTCCTTTCTCTCTGGCTTTTGCAGGGAGCACGTCAGTCCTCCCGAGCACAACAGGCTACACAGAACCAGCCATTTACTTCCTGAGCAGCAGCTGCTTCCAACCTAGCATTCCTGAAGGGCAGCTCTGCGCTCCCGGCCCGCCGCTGCCCTCCCGGGCACTGGGAATGTCCAGCGGCGGCTGGTCGAGAGGCTGCAGCAGCAACCCGGGGGGTTGCGGTGGGAGGGTTCTCTGGAGGGGGCCTCGGGGGCCATGGTGCCCGACCCCCCTGCTCAAGCAGGTCCCCCTGGAGCTGCTTGCCCAGCCCCTGCACCCTCCGCTCTGCTGCCTCCCCCGGGCAGCCTGACCAGCTGCTGCAGACTCTCATCTGCGAGCTTATACTGATCTTCAAACATGCTGAGAAACAACCCTATTCCTGCTCTGGTGGAGGCACAACTTCAGCCTTAAAGTACTAAAGACTGCGTATCCTGCAGCCACTACTCCGTATAAATTTAACAACTTTGCTTCCCTGTGCCTTATCCCTCATTGCAAACGTTACATTATCAAAGCCTGTAGGGTCTTCTAGTTTTTCAAATCAGCAATTAAATATATGCCCTGGTTCACAGTGCATGAAAAAATTAAGTTCTGTTACAACCTAAATGGGGCAGGTATCGTAAGAGCTACGCATGACCAGATCCTCACCTTGGTAGATTAAGCAGTGAGTAAAAAAAATACTCTAACCTCTTTTAGCATCTCTAAAAGTAGGAGGTTCTCCCTTTGTCTGACACTGCTGCTAGACAGCAGGACTGCAGTCTGGAGAGGCTGCAGTTCTGACTGGACATAGTGAGTTGCAAGCTTCACACATGCCAGTGCAGCTTTAAGGTGGAGTCCTAAGAAGTGCTCTTTGAAAAAGATTGTGCTAAACATCCTACACAAGAAGACCCTGCCTTAAGAAACAAGCAAAAAGGAAACACAGGTAACATTTCTGGCTTATGTTATCTCCATAGGCCGTGCCCTTAGAAAAGATAAAACCAGGACAGACTTCAGCAGCACATGGATTCAGTGTGGCATATGCCTGTGGAGTGTTACTTTTTGTAACACAGATGAAAATTCAATGCTATGAAATTTCTTCAGAAGTAGTTACACAGAAGATGCAAGCTTTCTGAACAGAACCTCTGCAAGAGAACTAGCTTTCCTTTAAAGCATTCTATGTACAGCCAACTGTTTTAAAGGTTAAATTTAACTAATTCCCTTAAAAAATGCACGTTTCTCCCATCATTCTTGCTTGAGGACCTCTCATTCCTCCTCTCTTCCTCCACTCTGGCATGGTATCTTGCTAACTGGAAATTCTTTAACAAAGAACTTCTAAACCGAAAAAGTGCATGCAAGGAGGCTACTCAGACTGCTGTGTATATTCCCATTAGTTAAAAATTGCTACTGGACCTTCAGGTTGAGAAACCAAAGAACTGAAGTGTGTCACCAAGTCATTGACTGCAGCGCGAGATGCATAAGCTAATCAGGTGCGTTAATGATGCAGTAAAAAGCTCAACCTTTAAGTTGAATATGCTGAACACATCTGCAACAAGAAAAATAAATGTCAATTAAACAAGCCAAGTAAAGCCCTAACACTCTAGTCTATGCTAACCACAGAGCTAACCACAACCAGGTCCTCCCCAAATAGTATCCAATTCACATTTTAGGATCAAACTACCATGGGGGGGGGTGGAAAAAAAACCCATGCTTTAATTTGGAATTTCATGCTGAAGTACACCCTGAAAGGAGGACAGGCACCCTGTTAACAGGCACTACCTCACCAGCATTGGCAGGGCAACACTTCCAAGCTGCATTCATTCCTGCTCCAGCTTCCCTCCTCACCCAGACCCCACAGGGTGAACTACAGCATTGTTCCTTCCTCCCCCTGCAAGATACATCCTGAAAGCTTCACTCTCCTCCACCCCTTTCCCCACAAACAAGTGCAAAGAACGACTGAGAGCAATCCCAGTCTAACTCTGGATTCCCAGCTTTTCCCATGCATTTGATGAGACGTGCTCTGAAGTGTTAGCTTGTGTTAAGTGTCTGAGGTATGTCTGAAGGGGAAAAAAAAGGAAAAATGGAAGTTCCATCTCAACCCTCCTGGAAAAGGCTGGTTGATGATACATACCACAGTATCAATCTCTGCTGGGCTCACCATCCAAGACACCTCATCAAACTCTTCAGGAGACATGGGGAGCAGATTTTCTGGAGACTGGAGCCTGGAAGGGTGGCTAATAGAATGAGAAGAGCAGGGACAAACCTTCACTAAAGAAGTGAGGAACAGCTGCGCTGCCATGTCTGGCTCTGAGCCCAGAAGGGCCACTAGTGAGGCCTTGTGAGGAAGGCAGCCTGTGAGCAATGCACCGTGCTCTGCAAAGCCAGCATGGCTTTAAATGAAATCTGGGACTACTCACTGATCTACATTCTAATCAAACAAGTCCAGCAAGTCTAAGAACTTGCTTTTCAAGAAATTATTTGCCAGCACAACTACCTGTGTTTCTAGGGTCTTTACCTAAAGATGTTGTTTCAGACGCAGCACTGCATGAATGTGGTGTGATCAGATCCTCAAAGAGAGGAAAGATTTGACAGGGCACCTACACCTCAACTACTGTGAAGAGGCATGAACTACAGCTGTAAAGTTATGATCAGTTCCTAGAAATCCAGTATTTCTGGAAACTTACACTTCAGATACAGAGATTAACTCAGTCTTGATATAGCCGTTTCCCTTGGGACCATCCAAATCCATAGGCTCTGGTGCTTCAAAGAGAGAAAAAAAAAATTGCTTTTGTTTTTTTTTTTTTTTAACCAAGTTGACTTCACATCGCCATCCTTATTGTACCAAAAATAAAGCCCGTGACCCAGATAATATGCAAGTCTCTCTCTCTCTCATGCACTTTATGACACTATGGTTAATTTATTCAATTTTTTTTAGTCAGATTTTCCTTTTTGATTTTTCCCTAGAGGAAATGGGGAATAAAACCTCCCCTGAAGTTTGATGTAGGTGTATCAACACATCCTGCCAGGACCAGTCCTGTGTAATAGTCAAATATGAGTCATGGTTCCAGCTGTTAGTGGAAACCTTCATCTCTGAAATATCTCCCAGGCTCACATGAAAGCTAAATTAGAGGGCCGGAAACAATTATTTTCAGTTTTTATCTACTAGATCTCATATTGTGCCTCTTTAAAATCAGAGCTTTTCTTAACCTGCTAAAGCTTAGGTGCCTGTTCTCACCTTTCAGCCGAGCAGCACTCAAGCACAGGGTAGGCTGCCAAGACATCCAGCCCAACTGCCACCCTTTCCTTCTGTGCCACAGAAATTATACAGCACCCAAGCACTTCAAGAACAAACATCCCACTTGCACTACATGAGCCATTTATAGCACTCACCCTCCTTAGGCCTGGAGTAGTATTTGCCAAAGGCGTTGTCTTTGGGTATATCTGGGTACAGAAATCTCAGCGGATTTTCAGGAATGTTTTCAGCTGCCATCACTTTGTAGTTGCGAATGATATCAGGGAAAGTGACGGCTGAGAGCTCCTTCTTGGTGTATGGTTCTACCGAATGGAACTGGGGCTCTGCAGAGGAGAGAAGTGGTTTCAAAGTTTTTTGTAAAACCGTCCAGAAACACTGCAGCCACTTTCACAAATTCAGAGGTCACATGAGCAAAAGTCTCACGTTTTGTACCTATACTAGACCTACTGTACCTATTTTGCACCTATTGTGCTGCAGGTTAAGTATTTAATGACTGTCCAAGGGAGCATAATTGCTTTGTGGGGTAGGCAGGCATATGGGGGGCTATGCACATAGTGACAGCTCTGGGAGTGTTTTGTATTCAGGATGACTGGGGTGACTGTCCATGCAAATTAACTTCAGTTTTATTAACTAATTGAAGCTGTGCTACTTTTTCAACCTGCTTCCAAATGATGTCATTCAACCTCTACAGCCTGTTAGGAAGCTTGACCCTAATACACCACTTAGAGCTCTTATGAATCATAAATAGAGACAGATAAAGCTTCCCTGGATGCTCCAAATACTATCACGCTCCTTTGCTTAATTTTTGGATGTGGTATGAAGGCAGAAAAGGGGAAGAAGTCATTCAAGTATATTCAGCAGTTTTTCTTCCAGCTGTTGTAGGTTTTGGGCTCATCCAAGTATCAACTGCTGTGCCATCCTGGCAGGTGGAGTTGATTTAAGCAATATGATAAGGGAAGAACCCAGATGGGTACAGGGGAGATTGTATCTTTTTGCAGCTTTTAAGTGTCTAGGCTTCCTTAAAAGAAGATGAGAGAATAGTCTAGCTAACTGAAGAAGTAAGGTCTTCATCAGCCCTTCTGGAAATGGGAGGAAGGAGAACTACTTGGATAATGAAGTATGTGGTTTGCTTAGGGAGAATGAAGGAAGAAACAAATGTGTTGGACCATGAGTTAAAGCAAACTGTTTGAGAAGAAAGGGGTGTTGCACAGAAGTTGAAATAGTAAGAGAGAACAATATAGAGGACTGAATGTGGCTGTAGTGAACTTTTCCTGGGAAAGAAATCTCCTGATGGGTAAGGTGATGTGGGTTTGGAGGGAGATGCAGGTGTGTCTTACTGAGAGAGACCCTAGGGAGGCAGAGGAGACAGCCTGGGCAGCTTGTCCTCAACAAGCTTCTAGGCCAGAAGCAGCACCCAGGAAGTGCTACTAGTCCTACCTGAAACCTTGAACAATCTACCGTGTAGCTTATGAGCAACACTGAGTAAGGTATGTGTCTGCTATTGCTTATGGCCTACTGCTGCTAAGGGTGGGAGCACTGCTAGGGTGGTGTATTGTAGTGGTGTGAGAGAGAAGGGCTTATGGGCTTCTTGTTCTGATGTAAGCTTGTATTTTGAAGATAATGAAGATAAAGGTGTTCTCTGTTACTGACTTACCATTTTGAGATCCTTCTACCCAAGTAAATGTGATTGCTCCCTCTTTGCTGCTTTCACTGAATCTTAGTAAAAATGTTCCTGGACTCTGGTCTTTCAATAAGGCACGTTCTTTCTCTTTACTGATGAAACCCATGATGCAGCTGTAATGTTGGAAAGAAATAGTTGGGTTTACTCCTCAACATAAAATCTAAGCGTGCTGGGCTAGCTAGAAAAACTAAAAAGCTTTTGTCACTTAAAAGAGGTGAAGTACTTTGTTCTGTGAACAGCTGGAAAGCCAGCAGTAGGGCTGACAGGCTGGAGCTACCTGGTGGAAGTCATGACTCACCACAGTTTCCCTCAGCACTCCTTTGGCCTGGTGGCTTATACAAACATTTTTCTGAGTTTGGAATAAAAGCAATTGTCCTTTGCTGTGAAAGCTGGGGTGTGGAAGCATGAGTTATATAGGTATAATATGGCCAGATCTTAGCTAGCAGTTTTAACTTCAAAAGCATTTTAAGGAACAGTTGTTTCTCCTCTTTGGCTGATAAAATGAAGCTTGTAACCTACCAGATTGCAACCACACAGGTGTGGGGTTTATTTTGTTCCTTGCACACATTTTCCAGATGAGCTGTTAAGCTTATGTGACTTCAACCTCCCCAAATTCCCTACGGTCAGCAAATGCCACTGTATAGAAGGCCAAGGTAAGGATAAGAAATAATAAGAAATAAATTGGTCTGAACGGGTGCTGGGGAGGGAGATGTACAAGCCAGCATCAGAGCGTAACCCTGGTCAAACCCCCAACTGCTTTTTTAAAAAGGTAATAATTTCTTTGCACTGCTTCTTATTCCTCAAAATGCCCCGTCAGTAAGGAAGCTTTGAGTACTACTACTGTTCTTCTGTGTGTTAAGTTAGGGAAAGTGCTTTTTGCACAAAAACTACTAAACAATCATGATTTTGCTTAGAATTTCAGATGCTGTAAGGTGTCCTGTTTATGGGGTTCTAAGATTTTGTTCTGTTATTCTTGGTGGTTCTTTTTAAGTGGCATGCTTTAGGTAGCAAATATCCTATGTATAATGAAAATCCTTTGCTTTTCTTGTCCCTCAGATATGAAGAAAAGCAAGTGTTCTTGAGGCTGTAATACTTCTTCTTTTGTATACAAGGGGAGTCTCTATCCTAATGAATACTACAGATTTGTCTCTTCCTACTCGAGTCTCTTTGCAGTTGGCAAGAGTTTTCTCTTCAGTTTTAATTTTTGCCTTTCTAGGAAACAGATCTGGGATTACCTAACAAAGCCAGCTGAGAGAGGAGAAACTCATAGTACTACATCTCTGGTTTTGATTACACTCAGGATCTAACTTGCACCAATTCTTTTTTTAAACCCCAAACAGGGGATTGCTCTCGTAACTGAGAGCAATGAGTAATGCTACTCAAGACTGTGTAAAAACAATCCTGTAGGCACACGGCCATACTGAGGCAGAACACTAAATGGGACAGAACTGCAACTCTGCTTCAGTGATGGTGGCAAAAATTCTTGCTGCACTGGACCCCCCTTAGCTAAGAAATATATAGGTTTCAGGCAGTGAAACAGGGCTTGTACTATAAAGGGCTTTAACAGAACTCATCTGGAGCTAGGGCAGAACAACTTGAAGCCTGCTGCTGAATGTAGCAAGATAGAGCAATCCTGCTGTTGTAGATCCTGTGCACTTGTGGGATACTAGAATGCTCCATGCGAGTGTTATTGACAGGGTTTCATAATGTGGCTAAACCTAAAATGCAGTTTCTGGCAGCTGTTAGTTCTGAAATCGGCAATACCGGAATGAAAAGTTTACTAAACCAGTATCAAAGGGAAAATCCACCTGGCAGAGTCTTACTACTTAATAATACTCTACTAAAATCAGTAAAGATGTTCTGGACTCCTGCTGCAGATACAGTTCAGAGTCTAGCTGCTGCCACCCACAGGAGGCTCACAATAATGTTTGCTCATAGGTAGGGTTTTTGGTTTTTAACATGGATGATCATTTCATAACTTATACTTTGTTGTACTTGAGTATTCCCTGTCAAACACAAAAGTGGCTCTGTTCTAGGGTGTGGAAAGAACTAACTTAAAACAGGAACAGAGGCAAAAAAATCTAACATTCAAAGCCCTGCTCTCTGACAAATTTGTCAGCTTGGTCATCTGATGCTTTTGCTTTAAGCAGCTGCCTCAGAGGCTCCCTCATGACTAGAATTCATTTGCCTCATTTTTTTCTGGTTGCAAGTTCCACTTTATTGGATCCAAAGTATCTGCACAAACAACCTCACAACCTGAGGATGCAGCTCCTAGCCTAAATGAGAAGTCTGAGGCAATGACCACATCTTTGTTAACTTCACTCAGATCTTACCCATCATTCCAGAGACACAGGAGGTGTTTCTTAATAAGCTCCAAGATTCCCTCAATCCACAGCCAAAAGGGGAAACTTTTATCGCTTATATTTTCCTGAAATTCAGAATATGGAAAGGCAGAGGTAGGAGAGGGGAAAACACAGATGATGAAACATGAGCAGAGAGGAAGCAAGCTCTCAATCCTGTTAGCATCTGTTTGTTCTTCCATTTTTCTCCCTTCTTTCTTCTTTCCCACCCTCCCCTTATTCTCTCATGACTTTTCTTCCCCTTTCTGTTTCTCTACTCCAAAAGGACAGAAACTATTGGGAGTGAAGCATGTACTGAATCTTAAGGCAAGAGCTAGCGTGGGAGAGATGCCTGTCTGAGCCTACAGTACCCAAAACCAGGTATCCATCACCTCTCACGCAATGACACTGGTCCAGGAGAAGAGAACAGGCCTGCCAGGGCACTGTCCTTATTTGAGCTCTTGGACATCCAAACCATCCCATGGTGCCTTGGACCAGTCTGGCTAGCAGAGCAGCTTAGGGACACTTTCTGTTCAGACTCAGATTTCAATTCCTCATGAGACACCCATATTAATGAACTTGAGTGCTTACAGGTCACCGGAGTTTTGCTTTTCCCCTGGAGTCTGCTCCTGCCTGCTCTCCTCTTTTCTGCTTACTGATACCAGTTTAGGGTCTAAAGCCAAAGAAAGTGCAGAGTCCTCCTCCTCCTGTCTTGCTGCAGCCAGGGTTATGAAATCTCATGATGTGGTTTTCTGCCATCACGATGACTATCTTGGCTGCCCTGTGCTAACCCTCACACTACTCCAGTTCCCCTGGTCTGGGAAATGTCCTTCACTATGACAGAAGAATTATTCATCTTGCTGGGGTTTTTTGACATTTTCTGTAATAGTCAAAATGGAGAACTATTCTGTTAATTTTTCTATAGTTTATATGGCTCAAAAGCAACCTCCAAATTCTCTACTCCTTGCTATTACAAGACTTCCCTCCTGCTGCTGCTACTTGAACCTCACCACCAAACCCTCGCAACCATGTAAGCTCTAGAATAATTAAGGTACACTACTGAAAAACAAAGCATCCTGGAAAAAAATCCAGCCAAATTAAAAAACCCAAAATCAACAAAAACCACCCCCGAACAGACCCCACAACAAACCAAGACAAAGCTCTGTCTTCCATCTCAGTTTTTAAACTGCATTGATACCTTGCAGAATCTTGTCCAAGGTATGAGGCCATCGTGAGATCCTCCGCTTGTTGGCCCTGAACGGAATAAATTGACTTCAGTCAGGTTCCACAAGTTACTTGGTAAGGCTGAAAGGAATGTACTTAGAGCACAAAGTTCTGTGTTTATTTACAACTCTGAGCTGTTGGACTGACAAAGGAAATGGAAAGCTACAGTATTTTTGTGGCTAGTGCAGGGAGAGCTTGCAAAGCTCCCTTCTGAGGAAGTTCACTGCATCAGAATGACCAGAAGTATTTAAACAGACTTTGTGTGATGGGAATCAATTCATTCTGATGCTTCCTATGCTGTGCTACGCCTAACACTTGCCAGTTTCAAAATGCTTGAAGGAAGGAGACTGAAATCTTCCACATCTCTAGCAAAACAAAGACTGCAACCCGTAAGATTGTCTGTGGGAGCTCAGTGGACCCTACAGTAGCTTTGAGAATTAAGCACTTTCCTGTTTCAATTCTGGTGACTCGTAGGCTTTTGCCCCAGAAACTCTTGACTCCTATGTTTTCTCCAACCACAGACTCATCTCATTCCTGTTGTAATCATTTGCCCCCTGTCTTGTTTTTGTCAAGTGTTCCACAATCGCATCCAAACCACAAAGAAAATCCTAGGCTGTGACTACAGCAGCCAGAGCTTTGCAGACCCCCGCTGTATTCTGAACCAGTCTTTTCATTATAGACCATGCTAGGGATTTCAATCAAGTCAGAAATATGCTGGTTTTACCCTCTCATTTCTCTAAAAATAAATTGGGTTAGGGAGCTTGTTTCTGAGGCTGATGCATTAGAGATCAAGATTCTGTCAACTTTCACATCACAAAAATAGCAGGTGAGTTGTATCCTGGCACCCTGTTAGATTCTGTGTCCCCTTGCACTAAGGAATCCTGAATATGTAGTGTTAAACCACCTGGATTTTTTCCAGTAGTGAAAAACTTTTAGCTATAGAGGTAAGATCTAAATATCATCCCTACTGTTACCAGAATTTGACAAAATCTCTGAAGTTCCAAAATGCAAGTTGACCACAGAAATATGTCAGTGTTTGCTTTGTCTTTGTGACGGTTAATTAAACTAAAAAAATTAATCTCCTTGTAGAATTCTGAAAATCTATTAAATCAGTAAGCTTTTTGTCAGATTTTATGTTTTGGGGAAATCAGAGGAAGGGCATTAAGAGACTAGAATTCTGCACTTAATGCCTAGATCCACTAGTGTCATCTCTCTTTAAATATAAATGCTTCCCAAAACTTAGTGGAATATACTGAATCAACAATATTTTTATCTAGAGTCTACTATGCAAACTCAGTAGCAGTGTCAAGTGCCCTGCCTATCAGGCAAACTGACAAGGAGTCTGGAAACAAAAGTCATGGCTGATTAGGCTTTTACTAAGGACTCTCAATTGGGAGATGTTCAATTTGATATCCTTTAATAGTTTCAGAGTGTTTGCACTTTGTCATTGCAACTGTGTTTATGCAGACAGAGTAAACCCCTGCTGTAGCTGGAGGTGTGTGTGAAGTTAATTAATGGAGAGGGATTTAAAAACAAAAAAATACCAAGAAACAGCCATCTCAAAGACTGACTAAACACGTACATTTCCTCAGTAGCTCTTCAAAAGGCAGAAGTAGCTCCAATCTGCACTGCCCTAATGCACCGAACACCTAAGTCAGAACTGCAGATTTTTTTGTGACCTGACCATTTACAAACTCTACCATACTGAAAACTGAAAAACACTTCTTTGCTATGAAGTGATAGTGTGAGAGGAAATGAAACTTAAAACAGATTGCAGAAAAGATGTAGAATTAGCTTCAATTCAAACAGGCCACCTGTGATGGAAGTAGACCATACCAAGTAGCTTCTCTCCCAGCATGCTCAGCTGATCTGCATTAAGTCCCCTCTTTGTTACAGAAGAAAACTGCCAACTCAGAACTTCAGAAAGTTTAGACCACTTTGCGTAAGGTGGATTCAGAAAGAAGGACAAGTTCTAGAATGGAAGGGAAAAATACAATCTATAGTTAATAAATGTTAATTTTGGAATGCTGTTTAAATTTATGAAAGTGTGTTGCCAAAACAAAATGCAGATTTAAAAATGGATGTCAGCTTGAGACAACTCTGCAAAAGCAAGCTGCTCTTCTGACAGGCACTCTTTACCAGGAAAAGCAATCTCTGGGACTCTGCTTTGGAGATGTCTTCTCCCCATAGGTAGAATTCCTAGATTACTCAAGTGCATTGTATTTGAACTCCTGAATGTTTATTTGGCTTCTCACTGTGTACTGTATAAACTGCATACAATATATACTATCCTCATGTGGGTTTCAAACATTAGGATAGGGAAGTAAATCACTGTGCCCTTCTTTACCCCCTGAAAGCATGGAAAAAATGCAGCAGCCACTTGGATACAGAAAATGCTTGAAAATTACACACAGTGTTTTTGACACATTTTTTTTTTTCCAAATACCTTGGGATCAGTAGACAGCATGTTGAACCATAAGATAGAAGCCCATCCACTTGGAAGCTGGCTGACGTTTGAGATGACAACAATGGGAAGGGAAGTGGTCTGGAAGGGACACAGAAGGAAACATGTTGGACTACCCTGTACCCCTGCTGCAGTCCTCCTCTAGACTGCCCACAAACACACTTCCACTGTAATTCTTGCTTGTGTGGTCTTAACTCTTTCACTTGAAGTTTCTGTGTAGAGGAGACAGAGTCAGTATGATGAAGTACTAGAAAGTGTTGGAAGATTTTTGTCTGGTAAATACTTCCATTTAGTGTTGGTTATGATAGCAGTGACAGTAACAGTTCTTAGTATATTGCTTCTGAAATATATGGGAACTGATACCTAGAGAACTTAAAACACAGGGTTGGTTATCAGATACTTTGCAAAGCACATCTCTTATTTATCCAGAGATTTGACACATTCTCACTGTATGTGTACATACAGAGATGTTATGAAGTGTCATTCATGTATTTTTTGAAATAATTGAAAGTGTTTGATATTACAGTACTTTAAAAAAAAAAAAAAAAGTTTAGATTCTTGTCATGAGTGACATCCAGAAATTTAAGTCCATCTCTTTCAAGACATACCTCTAGGTCTATTACCAAGCCAGGCTGGCACAGCTGTGTCTCAAAACTCAGAGAGTGAAGTTCTTCTGTTACAATGAGAGGACCCTTTAAAGAAAGGAAAAGAAGTAATTAAAAACCAAAAACCTTCCAGGGACTGAAAACTGCTTGGTGGGGAAAGGTGAGGGATTTATCATTGGGTGAAAAACCTTTTCTGCCTGAGGCTACTTCCTCTGAACCTTAGAAACAGTTTAAAGGTCAAACTCAAGTGACAATGCTAACTTCCTAAAACTGCCTGTTAGAATAGGTACTTTCTAGGCTTTTTTTTTTTTTTTTTTGGCTCCTATCCTGAAGCCACAGAAAAATCTGTCCTTGACAGAAAGCCCTGTTAAAGCTGGGTGGCTGTGAGGGAGAGTCCAGAGGGACTACCATTCTGACAGTAGTTCTCATCTGTAGACACCTCCTATACAGATCACCTCCTACAAACACTGGACTCTCCTGTGGACTTGTCATCCTGTGTGTTTTTCATGGCACTGACCAGAGCACTCATTTAAATGCCTGGATGCCATTTCAGTATTATGCAAAAGCTTTGTGAAAAAGGTTAGTGCTGCTTACCTCATTTGTTCTGCTTCCTGCATTTTTCTGTTCTTTCAGTTGCTGCAAACAAACAAAAAACCCTGTCACTCATTTACCTGGCCACAAATGAAAGTGGTAAAGGATGCAAATCCTTGCATGCTCTAACTGCTCAACTGTATGCAAACTTGCTGCACTAGAGTCTGATTCTATTTGATTCTCAGCCGTGGAAGCCAAAGGATTAAACTATAGGTAACTACTACTCTTCATTCATACTCATAAATCATTCATCTGTGAAAACAGATATCATGCCCTTATGATGTAATGCCTTTAAGAGGCCTTATAAGAACAGCAGCAGTGTGAAATCGGGAAAGATCAGATTAAATACTGGTTTATCAAAGTACCCCTCTAAATTGGACAATAAACTCTAGACAGTGTCTGTTCTTCTGTTCTGGACAACTGAAAGGAGGAAGGGAGACTTCCATGTTCACTTATTCAGGATTTTAATTTTTCCTTTGGTTCTGTCATCACAACAGGAATCTGATTTATCTCTCAATTTGCAGATCAAAAGTTCTTGTATAGTCTGCTGAAGGCACTGAATTTCTTGTAGATGCCCTCCGAGACAATTTCCCTCTTCCAGTTTCAAAGCTCTTTAATCTATTTCAAGTTTTCCTACCTATGGGCCTTCGTCTGAAAGGCCCAAACCAGCATTTCTGAGCTTCTTTTTCTTTGTCCTCCAAAGAACTCATTGCAACATAAGCTGTATGGTAGCAAATACTTTTGTTTGCCTTTCTCGCCCTATTTCAGTGACAAAAGCAACAGCATCCCAACTGAAACAGGCCAAAGATTTCAAAAAGGAAAGAACAGTGAAAAAGACATGTTCACAGTTCCTCTTATACAAAAGTAAATAATAACAAAAGCAATCTGTCTCCTTCTTACCACACCCTCTAGTCACACAATGGATGCGTCAACAGAAGAAAAAAAAAAAAATCCCCTACCAAGTGCCTGAATTCTGCTGCTAGACTTCCATTAGTAGATTCTTCCATGTTCATTACTTTCGTGTTTGTTCCCAAAATATTAAATTTCCTGAACCTTCACAAAGAGGGACAGAAAAGAATTAAGCGTCTTGAATTCATTGGAAGAACCCAATATTAATATATCAAACTGTAATGCCACATACCCTTTGACTGAGTTCTTCTCGGTCACATCTCTGTCAAAATAAAAAGACGAAAATGACAAAATAAAAATCTTTTCAAGATTCTGCCACAGACATAGGAAATGTGGGTGTTTGTCTTAGTAGCTGACTGAGAACTAGTAAAATATTTCTGTGAAATCTTTTGTGCAAAGGTGGAGGTAATTGGTTCAAGGAATCTAAATATCGCACTACACAGGATATCTTCTACTGAGTCTTAAATTTTGCCATGGGGTCTTTACAATAAAGTCTGTCCTTTTACTATATAGGCTTAACTCTTGCTCTGAGGAAAAAACTATATCGTACTCTCACTCTCAATCTGCTTTCAAAGCATACAACTTTTTGAATAAATTGCTGCATCACTGGAATCAGTTTTCCCAACACTCAGGATTTTACCGAGTTGCATTATATCTGGTGCATTTCTCAGAACCTCAGCTCCCACATTCAATGAGAATCTCTTATCCTTGCACCCATTCCCAGCAAGTTTCTGGACCGTAGAGATGCTTCAAGTGAACAGACTGCCCCTTAAAGACTCCAATGTGAAGACAAAAACCCACCCGCTTTTTTAAAAGCACAGGCCCCTTTCATGACCTTACAGCCACTGCTGTTATCTTGGAGAGCCTGTTCCATTTCTTTCCCTGCCCTTAAAGCAAGTGCTGAGGCCTTCTGTACTCTGTGACATGTCCCTAATGGCAAAGACAGATTCAGAGCAAGGGCATGTGTAAGAAAAGGAGGGTTGTACCTGCTGCCATGGAGAATCAGCCTGCTCCTGGACAACTCAACACTTAAAATATGACTGCCTTTTGGATTTCTGAACATGGGGACTGCTTACCACTAGTGTACGCGGGGATGAGAAAAAATGTAACGTACTTATCAAATAAAACTTTCACTTTCAAGTTGTAGTTCAACTCCTGCAACTTCACCAGCAATCTGAAAAGAGACAGGGTTTTTTTTAATTACTGCAATTGAAAAAACACAGGTTGTATTCTATTGCGTTGCTTATCACAGATTTATTTAAGCTGCACAACTCAAGGTCAAATACTGGCTCTAAGCTTGTTCCATACAAGATACCATATTTGCAGTGACAGCATCAATCAGCAAGGTCTGCAGACACTGATCCCAGGTCCTGATTTAGAGGACACTAGATGGGCAAATGAATTATTCTTCTGCACGACAAAGTGATCTGTGTGTGTGTCTTCTGCTGTTTGATGTGTTTTATACACTCAATACCCCTCCTTCTGGTAAAGGATAAGAGCTAAATACAAGTTAAACTGCTAGAAGATATCCCCGTGCCACATGACACTCTCTTCCCCTCCTTGCCTTAGCACTCAGGCAGCCCTCTCAGCTCTAAGAAACCAATGACATGGAAGGCTTACCACAAAACAAGAAGGAAGGAGAAAACATACCTAAGCTTTACAGTAAACTGTACTCCTGTCTTCAGAACCAAGGGCCTCTGAGGATGCGTTGGCATGCAAGGCTGCCTCTCTACCACAAAGGAGCTATGGAAAGAACAGATTAAAGGCACTTTGATTTATCAATGTTGTCTTTAAGGAATAAGAAGTCACATAAAAAGTGAACTTTAAAAAAATGGTCACTTACCAGTAGTACTATATACTTTATTCATTGAGTTTCAATCTATACAGAGGTCTGTGTGTTTCTTTCACTTCTATCAACAGCACTAAAATTACTGCAAGTATAAAGTGATTTTGTAAGGGTTGGCTTTTTCTAAACACACTGATGGCTTGAGGAGGGAGAGTGCTACCTCAAACTTCCCTGAAAGCAAACAGCATGTAAACACTGTGATGTGATGCATAATCCAAGTGAGAAGTGTTGCTTTGTTTGCCGTTCCCAGTGCTTGCTAAATTCTTACTTTCACAGTGCTGTGTAACACCACGTGCACAGGAGCTGGGTAAGCGAGCCGGGGATTTGACGAGGGCTAACTAAGCCCACGAAGCAAATCCTTCACGCTAACCTGTTCTCAGGCACCCCAAACTGTTGCTGTCTTGGGCACCTTTTGTGTAACGCTCTGCTATGTAGACATAAATTCTGAAGTATTTCTGCTGTTACAAAGTCCTATGCGGTATGGAGGCTTTTCCTTTCACTATACTGACAGGCAAGATAACTCAACAGCAGCTGGACTTCTATAGCTCTGCCTTACTGCCTTCACTTCACTGAAAAGCAGTACCTGTGTTTTCTAATTGAAGATCAGTGGTCAAAGCATCTGAATGGGACTCTGGACACCTGGGTTCTAGCACCCCATAACAGGTTGTTACTTACTGTACGAGCCCCCGCTCTTATCTGTTAGTTTCAAGTCTTGTGCAGCACAAATTATTGTCTACTGTAGGTTTACAGAATGCGACTCTGATCTTATGCAGGGCAACTACCAGCTACAGTAGCTTGCATCAAAGAGAAGCTACAGCGATATGGCTGGCCTCCCTATGCTGGAGACAGAGGATGCAGTCAGAGACAAAGGGGTGGAGAATCTAGTGTGTATTTACTGTGGGCATAGCTTGGTGCAGATGGTTTCTTCCCTCCGTTTACCTGAACTTTGCAGAGCTGAAGTTTAAAGCAAGACATGGACTAACAGACTAGGAGTTTGATTCTGTAAACAGTGCATATTGTAGCATACCTCCTGCTAACTTAAATGATGACTGATCACAAACCCTTTCCATGGGCTTAAACCTGTGGAAACCCTAAATAGAGTAAATCTCAAAAATGGTCATTTAGTTTAATGTTTATGACAAACTTAGGAAAACCTCAGAAAATGCAGTTAGCATGCAGGAAATATTGAGGGAATGGAAGGGAAGGGGGTCTCCATCCATTTCTTCATGCAAACACAGAGAGACCTTCTTGTCTGTTACCTCTGGATTAGTTGTTTGAAAAGATTGTGTGTTCGGTCCTGCAGAACTTGTTTATTTTTTGTGATGGGATCAGAGTCATAGGTAAACTTCTGTTCCAGTTCCTCAAGTTTTTTAAGCTGCTGACGAACTTGCTGTAGACTTTCAGCAACAATGGTGAACCTACAATTACACAGTCTTATTACTTTTAGCATGTTTTTGTATCGCAACAATGCTGAGACACCAGCCAGGTGACTGTCCCGAAGGACTAGGTAGTGCACAGAGAACACTTGTTGCTCATCAGAAATGCAATGAGGTTATAAAAATCAATGGACTGCAATGACAGAATGAAAAATGCATAATATAAATAATCAATATATTTCACAGATCTGACATTTCTTCATGACACTTCAAGTTCCTGTCCAGTGCAGTCCTTGACTAGAGACTTACCAGTTCTGCAGCTGGTCAAGACAGGCGTTGGGTGGGCCACCAATACATGCAGTCTGTTGCCTCTGCTTCCACTCCACGAGCTCTTCCTTAACAAGAGCACTCTGTGTGTGCTCTGTGGTGTTCAGCAGCTGTATTATCTTGTTCACCACTTCCTATACAGAATATTAAATCACCCTGTTTATTAAAAATATTCAGGAAAACTAAGTAATGTTTTAGCTAATGCTATCTGTCTTGCAAAACTCTGCAAGGACCAATAGTTTCTGTCAACAGAGGATGTTTTCCAAAACATTGGTTTTAGTTGGAATATTTGCTAGAATAAGTGGAGAAAGAATTAATATTCAGTATCACTAAATTCTGAAGAGCCTATGTCTCACATCCATGTGTGCCCCAAGTGTGTATCTGGGATCACCCAGTGCTTGCTGTAGACTTGAGTACTGCAATGAGAGTGAGCACATTAACTCTAATATAGCTGCAAATTTTGAAATCAGTTTTTCCTCAAGAACATGACTATTGATATGAAACTTTTCCCTCTCACTTTTTTTAGCTTTACCTGACAGAGTTTGATAAAGGTTGCTACAAGAGAAACGTAATTGCTTACAGAAATTCTAGATTTTCAGTCAGGATGGAAAGAATGAAACCTTTGTTCAACTGATAGTAGAAATATTCTCTTTTATATAACTTATGTCAACCCAATGAAAATGAAATGTTGTTGCCTTCTGAAAGAAAACTAGAGTGCTACCTTTCTCTTAAGATCAAGTGATAAGAACATCTTCTGGAGATTCATCTGTTCTTTCTTGTACTCCTCCTGCGAGACACCATTGGATTCATGCTCTGTAAAATAAGTCAAAATTGTGAAGGTGAGGCTGAAGGAGTGCAACAAGTCATGCTCCTGTGAGACCAGGGAAGTATGGGTAGGGGAAACACTATGGGGAGGAAGGGGACCTGCCTGGCTAATGTCAAGTAAAGTATACTTTTAAAGCTTAAGGGAGGAAATATTTACTGCCTCCTAGATTTTTTTTTTATTATTCTTTCTGCCCCCCCCCCTTCTGAAAGGACAGACACTACACTTAAAGCACTAATGCAAGGAAAAGCCACTGTCCTGGTGAAGTAATTGAGATGTGAGTTTGCTTGCTTTTTAGAGCAAGAACCTGATTTCAAATAACCATTATATTGTGTAAAGATACTCACAGGACAACTTGTTCTCATGTTGACTTCAGATATGAATCATTCATATTACTTAACAGTTAACTTTCGTTGCTAGGTTATTTCAAACACTGAAGGATATGGTGGAGTAGAGAACGGTCAGTGTTAGGTTAATGGTTGGGCTAGATGATCTTCAAGGTCTTTTCCAACCTTGATGATTCTGTGATACTTACAGCCTCCTGATGGTAGGCCAGATCCTATGTAGGTGCCCTAGCTACTACCTCTGCTGCCTACTGACCTCCAGTTAGAGGTTCCTGTCTGCCTCACAGACGTGCTACCTACCCTTAAATACAAAAAGCAAGACCATGGCCCAGTGTTCCCCTTAGCATCTTCTGAACATGGCCCTCTTCTGAGGGACAGCCAACTGCCAATTTGTGTTGGAAACTGCAGCCTTTTTTAGAACAAAGTAGTCAAAAAAAAAAAAAAAAAGAGACAGATCTATAGCATGAAACAAGTGTGGATTACAGCTGCATGTGCTTCTCTCAGTACACAAAGGCCTACAAAACCTGAAGCAGGGAATTCATTTGTGAAATACAAGATGGCAAAGAGAAGCCTAAACTTAACTATTTAGATGTCTGGTCGAACAGTCACGGAGTCTATAGGGTTTGCTATTTCCAGTAGCAAAGGGATGTAAAGGACAAAGGAATGCTGTGTTAACAAAGAGGCTCTCTTATCACTTGTAAGAACAGACAGATGCAGAGAATGCATTTTCAGGAATTTAGGTTTCAGCATAAAGGAGGAATATTATCAATAAGTTTGGCTGCATATTATTAGGTTGAGTTTCCTGACATAAGACAGCACAGTTTACTCTTATGAACTATATGGAGTAAGGTATGTTCTTGATTAATTGCTCACCTCTACTCTGCAAGGTTTTACATTTAAAATCATATTCATCTTGCATATCCTCTAATGTCTTGATGTCTTGCTCCACATCCTATGAAGCACAAATGAAAGTAGCCACAGTTATTCAATACTTCCATGTAATGCAAGACTGCTGATTAGGAACTGTCTGCACCAGACATTTACAGAGATGAAGTCTGGTTTCACAGCAATGCCTTTTCCTGGAACTCCCTAACAAGAAATATCACTAAACTAAATCACCTTCTATTCACCCTCCCTCTCTTCTTTTGGCTAACTAAAATCTGACCATCTAGCCATATAAACTCAAAGAGTTCAGGAGAACCTAGGCTGCTACAGTGAAAAAACTTGGAACGGCAGTGTTTTAAACAAACCTTCAAATTCTTAGGTATTGCTTGGAGAAAAGTTTTCTGTCATGACAGTATTTGTTAAGATAATAAACATCTATATGTTAACTGCAAATCTATCTTCTAGTTAACAACAAAACGGTCAGTATATGATTTCTTAAGAGTTTTTCCTTAGTTGCTAGTATTTCAGATGGGTAAAAAGTTTTTGTTGCTAAAATTTAAGCACAAGACATTTTATCTTGCTAGACCAGTCGAATCCCAGTCTGTATTATGTTGCTGTTGACAGATAATTACTTTCTATTTTCAAATAGTCACTGGTGATAGGTAATGGTTTGGTTTTCAACTCTTTATTTTTACTCATAATTTTAGAAAGTCTTATTTTACATACTGAAAGCTTTTCAACCCATGTGAGTCAAACACCACTTAAAGTTATACTATACTTACTATAACACTGTTTTTTACAGCCTTAACTTTCACATCAAGCTCCTTCTGTTTGTCCAGCATCCCAGTCATGGTGTTCTGTATGCTCCCCACTTGCATCTGTGGGAGGCAAGCAGAACAACAGGAATCAAACTAGCGTCACCTGTGACAGCAAATACTTTTTTTAATTAGTGGCTTTTGTTAACAAACAGCCTGATGAAGCATGGCTTATTTTTATCAATCACACTAAAGTTTTATAATACAAAATCGAGTTTGGGTGAATTTGCAAGAAACAAGGGAAGATTTAAAATGCCTGTTGTGTAGTGATACCACACTCTTTTCATCACAGCAATATAAGCTATAAACATATTCTGTTTTCTCTCTGCACAACTCCACTACTTTGTTTGCTTATCTTCATGTATCTTCTAAACGTATTTCATGAAAACAACAATCCTGAAGGCTGGATGACATCTACATCAAGTGTCAGATGATTCATCCATATAGGATACAGGGAAAAATGGGCTAAGACCAAGAACAAGGATAGGTGTGTGTGAACAGGACAACCTGGTATGCATTTTTTTTCCTACAGGGCATTCAAGCACATTTTAAATCTCTGTACAGTTCTTTGAAAGCTGACCTCAATATCATTCAGGAAGTTTATTGCATGGCATCGCTTGAGGAGAGCTGCAGTAATTTCAAAGACAGCATTTTTCATTTCACACATTAACAGTACTAGTGGTGTCAGAAACTTGTTAATCCTCCAATGCAGGACAGTCAGATATGCATTGTTGCTCTGATTAACACTTCAATTTAAGCTAAGCTCATCTAAAGTATTTATTTTATTAAAATGCTAAAGGTCCCCCATCATAGATTTGAGTCAGACTGTTAAGGCATCCGAGCATACTCTAAGATTTGGGATTCTCCTCTGGTTTTTATAATAATGCTTATAATCATGCTTGCTCTGCATTTTATCTTCTCAGCTTTGGGAAATGAGAATGTTTACCAGCAAGCATGGTGTTGTACCTAGTGCCAACACTAAGTATAGGAGGACTTATTTCCCTTTTGAATGGCCTAAATATATCACATGCTGGAAAGGCAGTTGTGAATGCTTTATGTTAGGTGCCAGAACAGGAACTAAACAGCTGTGCTGCAGCTTCAATGGCTCTGTCAGTCACACTTTTAGAGGAGCTGTTTTGGACACAGTTGCATTAGGCCACTTGTTGAAAGCCTATGCCTGAGTGCTCTTCCTACTCTACCAACAGGTATTCAAAAATTTGCCCTAAAGGGAAGTATAACAGTATCAGAACTTAACACACTTGGTCAATCATCACTTTATTGCTACATAAGTGGATTACATCTAGCTGTATTGCTTGCATGCCTTTCCCAACTGCAGAATTTTTTTTTTATTGCAAAACAGTTCTCCTTGCAAAGGAAAAAACAAAAAGATGAAAAGTCAGAGAACAAATGAGAAAGGATAAGAATATGGCTTTACCTATGGTTCAGAGGAAAGAAATGGGCTTAACTTAAAAGAGAAAACTAGAAATAAATACTCGGGGATAACTGATAAGGAGAATGATGCATCATTTTCCCACAGGAACAGTCCAGAGAAACACCAAGGCTCAGCTTCTTAATACAGAGTAAATTCAGGAGTAAAATGCAGAAGGAAAAAGCTAAAATCTTGCTGGACAAATAAGGCAAGTGTTAATTATTAAACTGCAATAAAATCTGATGAGCACATTAGGCTATACTACAGAAGCATTAAAAAAACACCACAGCTTTTACATTGCTTGAGGAATAAAAATTACTTTCTGGCTATTTCCCCTCCAAATGTTTCATACAGCACAAACAAGTCACACTGTCCAGCTGGTACATATCAGTCTTCACTCTAATGTCTTTAAGAAACACATTGTTAGGCAGAGGACAGCCTGTTTCCTCTTTCAGTCGTCTTCCACTCCCTCTGTCCCAAATACCAGGAAAGGGTAGATACAACTGCAGTTGACATTCCGTGTGTTACCTGATTTGACAACTGGGCACTGTTCAGTATTTTCCTCTCTTCTTTCAGACAGTTGTAGATGATCATTGCCATGTGTATTGGGTCTTCTTGGAAGTTATCCTGGCATTAGAGACAGTCTATTGTTAAAGTCCACACCCAGAATTTCTTGTCCATCAGTACAGCAATTGGCAAAAAGATTAGCGGGTGACTGTGTGTAGGCCTCGAGGCACGCATCAGTCATAGCATGCTCTGAGACTACAGGTAGCATGACAGATGCAGCCATCTCCAAGAATTAGTTTCTATTTTAGTTCATTGGTGTAAGAAGAGATGGGACGTGGCACAAAATAACAGGAAAGGGACAGGGACATTGCTGGGAGAAGGAAGATACTTCCCTGCAGTCCTAGAGAGAGCTTATCTTCTCTTGAGAGCCACCCTGGTTTTGAAGGGCAGTAGTTGGGAGTTTGACAGGTACAGCTCTTGCTCAGCGATGTAAAGGAGATACATTAGCTCTCGTTTATGAACACACAGTTGAGGCTGGATACAAATTCAACCTCATTGTTTTACATGCATCCAAAGTTGAAGCATGCTCTGGACTGAGTATCGCCCTGCTCTGCCCAGGATGGTGCTGCCTGGAGGGTCACTGAGCTGTACCAGCCTCCTTGGCTGATCTTTCATTGCTGATCTACAGTTACTGTCAGATAAGTACAGCCTGGTCACGCTCTCCTCTCCTTGGAAAACAGTCCCCCAGTCACCGACTTGCAGTGTGTGGGAGCTCGGCTGTGGAGAAGGGAGGAGGACTGACTAATGACAAATTAAGCCCACTAAGGATATGTTCTGCACTGCCCTTCACTACCAATCACTTTGGCCCTTTTCTTGTGATGCACAAAAGTGCCATCTGATGACAAGTCTTTTGCTATTAACTGCAGTTCTGCAGTTACGTGGGAAGGATTTCTCCCTCTGTGTTTCTTCTGCATCAGAAGTTTATGAGGACACTGAGGACACTGGCTGGGGAAGGGCTGGGGTAAGTGAAACTATATTCGAGTAAGTGCTCCAAATACATATACTAAACACTTTACAAACAATTTCTGAGAACTCTAGGGAAAAAGAAAGTTGTAGTAACTGTACTGGTAATGAAACTGTAACTTTCTAACTGTAGCCAGTTAAAACAAAAGTGGAGTAACATTTGAATTCTGCCTTATAAATTAGGATTCTCACACACTCTCTGAAAAAATCCCTCATGGTAGGGTAGTGCGCTTAAAGGCATTCAATTGCACTAGTGAAGCAATTCAAACAAATACATAGGCATATACCCCAGGCATACCTGAAGATTACGTTTGCTTTTCCTTATGTTATGTTGCAGCAAAAAGTTGTTTTCTATCAAGAATCTACTAAATTGATCATCAAGCTGTGACAGCAGGTCATGGAATAACACCGTAGCAAAAGACACGTTGTTGGCTGCATGTTCCCTAGAAAAATTAAAGACATGGTTATGTTAAATAGGCTTTCAGTGCAGCATTCAAGAAATGCATACAGGAGTACTTCTAATCCCCACCACCAGTTGTAGCATATGTGAGCAGTAAGAATTACCTTCAAACATAAACCAGTTTCACTCTCTCAGTTTTGACTTTACTTTCCTTGATGCAGAAATGTTGTTTTTCTCTGTATTATTCTTGCTACATTCTGTGCAATTTCATCTTCTCATTCCATGCACATCAAGAAGCTAAAAGCAAACCTGCATGTGCATGTTGTACTATTCTTCTAAAAGATGATACTCCACAGAAATCTTGGCAAAAGTTCAAAGTCTGCGAACAATAAGAATCTGAGCTGCCAAGGTAGTAACTGACCAGTCTTAAAACATCTGCTTTTGTTGCAGATTAACCAAAGGGAAATAGGAGATAGTACTCTTGTTAACACTGTGTCAGGCCCCTATAGCAAGCCCCGAAGAGGGGCAGGAACACAGGCTGTAGCACCCACACAGCTACTGAAGCATCCTAACAGCAAAGGTTCACCTAGCAGCGTGCTCCCCCAGTACTCTTCTGCCGTCTGCATGCACGAGAACACTGGTTATCACGCAACCTGAAGGCCAATTTCTACACTTACCAATCCTGGTTTTCCAGCCACTGTGCCAGGTACTGCCTGATTTCCATAGGAAAGCTGTCATCATAAAGCTGGTGAACTTGTTCCAAAAACTTGGAATCAAGTTGCTGTAGCTGATACCACTGGGTCATCCTGAGGGGGGGGGGGGCGGAAATCAGTGTAAACATTTAAGCAGTATTTGGACTGAACATGTGAAAAGTAACTCATACAAGTTTTCACGAACAATGGCAAAACTTGAGGAATAGGAAGGAAAAGTGTTTCTAGCAAACGTTTTCAGCTGTAACAATTTTAGACAGCTAATCATTAAAACTAAATACAACTTCTGTTTTAATTAAAAAAAAAAAATCACAAATTAAGTGTGCTATCGCATGAAAAAACTCTGAGCTATATCACCCTTCTCTATGAAAACTTGCGATTTTTTTTTTCCTTTGAACCCCTTTGTACCTTTTTTTTCCCCCCTTTGTACCCCTTAGGGTACCAGCACCGTTACTGCTCTCTTGCTTAATAGGGGCACAGGCATGAAGATACCTATCCTGTGTGTTTGATACCTATACTCTGCAGGATCCAGATCCTGCATGTGGAGCTTCACCTTTTGTTGGTGTAGATGTATTCCCCATCGCCACAAGGTGGTAAAAAGCGTGAGTGAAAATCAAAGAAACTTCTAAGAGCCCATTCTCAGGTGGTCTTTGTGTCTGCACTTACCTGCTCTGAAAATGGACTAGTTCTCGAGAACTTTTAAATGGAGAAGTATTGGAGAGCTGTGTTTTTTTACTATATGCTTTAGTTCCCATAATTAAATTTTGGGGATAAATTAAGTAATCTCCACAGCAGACAGATTACTTAAAATGAACTAGTACGACCGAGAGAAGCTGTGCTGTACAGTAACAGTTCTATGCCAGAATGGTTGTGTGTTCTGACATATAGTCTCTGGCTGCAGGTTAGCGTCTTGTAGTGGAAATGGCACATAAAGAAACGTCCAAGGAACAGTCCAGGCTGAGAACATGGGCAGTTGAGATGCAAGTCTCGCATCTGCAACTTAAAAAAAGGGTCATAGACTGACAGTCATAGGACGTGTCCATGGAACTTTTGGGGTAAAGGGCTTTCTTATATGTGGCTTTCTGCCAAATCCCCATTAGTGTTTGTGTGCCAGCTCCCTCAGCTGCGGACGCTACACGCGAGAAGTAAATAAGAGTTAAAAACGCTATTATGTTTCATGTGAGGGTTTTGATGTGCATAGGATTCAGGTTACAGGTAACATGGCATTTGAATATGCTGTAGTGACGCTGAGGCACACAGCTGCCACATGACATTGGTGAGGAAAGCTAGAAAAATTCATCTAAATGCATGGTCAGTTCATTTTTTTTCCTCTAGTTCTTAAATTAACAGATACTTCAATCTTCCTGTGTCTTAAAGCAGCTAGACTGGGAAAGGACTTGGGAGAGGTGGCAGAGGACCACCCAAAAAGCTGGTAACAGCACAAAATGATAATGCAGCAACTGCCATCCTTGGGGAGGTGCAAGCAGAGAAACACTGAAAAGGCTGGGAAATCAGCACTTTTTGTGGGAAAGGCACTTAGAGACACCGATGCTGGGATACAGGGCTCAGCCTGCCATTGACAACCCGACAAGTGAGGTGGTGGAAAACTCATTTTGTTGTTCTGCCTTCCCTTGGGCAAGGGCAATAGGATGGCAGCCCGTACGTGCCTCTGGAGAAAAGGGGCTTTATCTGCACCTGGGCGGGTCCATGTGCCCGGGTGACAGCCGTGCCCCAGGGTGCCTTCCACTAAGCTCGGGCTCCTGCCTAGCTGCGCTCCAACTACACCTAACGCCGCCGACTCCTACCGCTTCCTTTCTTCGTGTCACCCCCGACCTCCCGGGGGCAGGCCGCCAAACTGCGCCACGGCAGCCCGGCGCCGCTTCTCGCTCCCATTGGCCGAGGCCGCGGGGGCTGGGCTCTGATTGGCCCCGTCACCGCC